TTTTTCTTTGCCCAAACTGACATCTCCTAGCTTTCCACCCATTAGGAGAAAAAGGGTGTTTTGTTGGTTTGCTTGGCAGCCTGGGGGGTAATAAAACTAAATGAACTTCTGAAGGCTCTGAGAGTAACAATGTCCATCCAAACTGCTGTTCTTGAAGAAATATCTGGAAAACCATGAAAATTATGGTAATTAACTGTCACCCAGGGCTTTCCTTTATGAAGGAAATCCAACACATTGGAGATGAGTGACCATCTGAATGCAGCACACTCAGGGCACAGAGGGTGCCTTGGCTCCATGTATTCAAATCTCTGCTATGGAACTCTGCAGCTTGCTGGAGAGAGCAGACCTAGTGTCTGTCATGACTTCAACCACTGAATACCCCAGTCTTCCCTGTTGTCTTCTCAGGTTCTGAAACCTGTCTCATGGCAAAGATTATCCAAGAATTCTAGAATAAATATTGAGTCAACCTTACCTACCTGCCTCCCTACTTCCAGAGTAGATGATTGTCTCTGGATATCTTCTTGTCACCCTGGAGCTATTTTCTGGCCTGCACATCTCTATTCTAAAATAGAGTTTTACGGGAATTTGGGATACACTGAAGGAGTGAAGAGGTAGGTACCATGCATTTCTTCTTGTGCAACAGGAGACAGGCATTCTTAGAAGGATCTATGAAACTGACCATGGTTGGTTGCATTTCATTGTCTAAAATCGATGAATATTGTTGAACCCCATAGAACTTTTTCAACCATATTTTTCCTGATTTATAGTTTTGTTCACTCTCTAAACTCATATATTATCTCCCTCATCCACAGCCTCTCTGGTGAAATCATCACTTGAAGTAATTTTTCCTTTCTTAATAGTTACCTTTGTATAAACTGTGTACAGGTGTCCATCTTGCATACACTGTGAGCCATCCCCATGTACTTATTTAGTCAATAAATATTCAGTACTAACAAATGTCAGATTCTCTACTAATTCTTAAAAAGTCATAAATGAACTTATTTCTCTTTATCCCTAGTTTCATGAGATTTAAAGTCTAGTGAGATAGAGAAGAGGGTAAGCAATATAATGTTATTATTCCAATATATTTATGAGAACCATGAAATAATGTGAGCAAAGTTTCATGAAATAATGAAAGAGGAATATCAAACCTAGGTGTGGGGAGGTCAGAAGCAGTGTATCCAATGCAAGTGGAAGAGAAGTAGAAGTTAGGCCTAGACTCAGATTTGACATGCTAACCTGCTGTACTCTACTGCCTAAACCTAGAGCAAGCTTCAGGGTGAGCTATATTTAAGGGGAAGGAAAGTAGATGCCTATGTCATGGGAAATGGTGTATAGTCAAAGTGCAAAGGGCAAAGATGCAGGGAGAATGAGAGATTGTAGCCATTTTTGTAATCTACTACCCTTTTTTGTCATCATTAATATTTAGGACCCAAAACAAAACAGGTGACTTGTAATATTTTCTGTGATGACCCCCCCCCATAATTCTGGGGTGAAAAGCATCACAACTCTTCCAGTAGAGAAAAGTCCAGTCTTGGTCTTTCATAAAATCCCAAATTTTCTTTTGAATCCTCTCTGGCCTTAGCTCATCTTAACTATTCTCCTAAACCCAACCACCTCAATAGTGTACATCCCCAATTTCTTAGGGCGAAATTCTCCCATTGGTGTCCTGGTACCTTCTTCCTTCTAATTAACTCTTCAATTTCATGTGAAGTGACTAATATTAGCAAGCATGGACACTGACTCTCCCAAATCTGTTCCCCTGTTCTTTAAAGTCATTTCTGAAATGTTATAGCAACTAGAATGAATCAGTTTTTGAAATTTTGACCATTGTTTTAATGCCTGTAACTCATGTCAAAACTACCACTTGACTAACTTCCATCTGCTGGTTCACGCCCCAATTGGCCACAATGGCTGGAACTGTGCTGATCCGAAGGCAGGAGCCAGCCAGGAGCCAGCCAGGAGCCAGGAGCTTCCTCCGGGTCTCCCAAATGGTTGCAGGGGCCCAATAACTTGGGCCATCTTCCACTGCTTTCTCAGACCACAGCAGAGAGCTGGATCAGAAGCAGAACAGCCAGGACTCGAACTGGTGCCCATATGGGATGCTGGCACCACAGGTGGCAGCCTTACCCACTATGCCACAGCACTGTCCCCATATCACTCTATCTTTGAAATAAATAATTAAATATTTCTAAATATGTGGTTTAAAATATCGACAATTTTTCTGTCTTTGATGGTTTTTCCATTTGTTACTCCTGATGTTTTATATAGTTTTGATATCTTGATTACCAAATGTTTGGGGCCCTGCCACCCATGTGGGAAATCTGGATGAAATTCATGGCTTTGGCTTGGCCCAGCTCTGCCTGTTGCAGCCACCTGGGAAGTGAGCTACAAAATGAAAGATCTCTCTCTCTCTCTCTCTCTCTCTTTCTCTTTCTGTCTCCCTCTCTCCTTCCCCCCTCCCTCCCTAAATCTTACTTTCAAACAAAAATAACTAAGTCTTGAAAATAAAACGATAGACTGAGACTTCAGTTTCCAGTCTGATATGTAAAGAACTCAGAAATTGACACTCTCATACTCACAACAAGAGAACCACGGGACAATGAAAAGGTCCACAAATAATCACAGATCTATTAGAGAATTGAAATCACAGAGCAAATGGCTTTTCCACAACTTGGAGAGACAATAATAAACAGATTCACAGCTTGGCAGCAGCAAACCTGAACTATAACTGATGAATTGCTGGAGATTAAATTAATGATACATTTTTCCAAAACCAGTGACAAACACCAAACCACCAGATCAAGCAGCTCAGAGAATACCATGCATGAATAATGACAAAATATTTAGAAATGTCATATTCAAATGTCAGAAAATTGGAGTAAAAATCTTGAAAGAAGTCATGGGCGAGATATAAAACAACATGTCTATAGAGGAACAAAGATAAGAATTACATTGACCTTCTCTTCAGAAATTGTGCAAGTGAGAAGAGAATGGAATGAAAAACTTAAAATACTGAAGAATAGAAACTCAAGCACAATCCTCCGTCCTTCTTGGTTGCACAAAATGCTGAATGAGATGTTGATCTTTCAGTCTTGGAGTTCTACTTGGGAATGCTGTCATGCCAGCTCAACTCCACCTCTCCCAGTCTGAGAGTGCCAGCATGCTCCATTGAGTCCGTATATCTCAAAGGCTGGGATTTATGGATGAATGTGCTGAGGTTTGACAGAGTGTGTGTGTGTGTGTGCGTGTGTGTGTGTGTAATGTGGTGATAATGAAGCACACATAGTAAGTGGTTTTGAATGCAAGGGCAGAAGTGTTCAAATGAGTTGATTCATAATGAGGGTGATATTCACAAGGGAAGAGCTAACCAGGTGTGGGATCACTAGAACACAGGTTGTTTGATCATTAGAACTTATTCCTTTCAACTTCTCAGTAAATGAAGAAAAAACCTATTTAGTAGCTGAACTGAGATTAAAACTTGCATTACCTCACTCCCAGGAAAGTACCTTATTGTCTTTTTTGAAGATTTTATTTAATTATTTGGGACGCAGAGTTACAGATAGAGAGAAAGACAGAGAGAAAAGTGTTCCATCCGCTGGTTCACTCCCCAAATAGCCAAATGGCCACAACAGCCACAGCTGGGCCAGGTAAAAGCCAGGAGCCAGGAGCCAGGAATCTCTTCCAGTTCCCCCATGAGAGTGCACGGGTTCAAGCACTTGAACCATTTTCCACTGCTTTTCCAGGCCGTAAGCAGAGAGCTGGATCAGAAGAGGAGCAGCACAGACACGAACTGTGCCCATATGGGATACCGATGCCACAGGGGAAGGCTTAGCCCACTATGCCACAGCACCAGCCCTCATACTTTATTGTCTTTAGCCACCTTGCTCCTTAGACAATCTCCATAGCAAAGAGTTCTTGCAAATGTGATTTTTTTTGGCCTTCATAATTTTTTAATTATTATTCTTTAAAGATTTATTTATTTGAGAGGCAGAGTTGCAGAAAGAGAGAGGGACAGACACAGGGGTCTTCCATGTGCTGGTTCACTCCCCAATGGCCTCAATGGCTGGAGCTGGGCCAATCCAAAAGCAGGAGCCAGGAGCTTCTTCCAGCTCTCTCACATGGGTACAGGCTCCGCTAAATAAAGTAGATTGGATTTTACTTGAAATACGGCTGAAAAGAACAGAAATCAAGCTAGCATACTCAGAGATTTGGAACTAATGAATATTTCATTAGCATTAAGATTATCATTATAATGATGTTTGTCTCTCACATTACTATAGAACAATGTTCAATAAAAATACCTGCAGATTTTAATTTATTTGACAGGCAGAGTTATAGACAGGCGGAGGCTGCAGATATTTTTAATGGATCTTTTAGATTTTTCCAAGTTTTAAAAATTTTGGTTACTTAACTAAATAATAGAGATCAACTCTCAAATAAAATCTTTTTTAGCCACTGATAAAAACAAATCCAACTGCATTCCCAAGGAATATTTTGCCAGTTCTGTTCCAGCTTTTTGAAAAATTTTGAAAATATACCTGTACTTTTCTGATGAATTCTGTAACTGGGACAAGATTTTATTCAACTTAAGATTTATTTGGGGCAGACACTGCCTACTGGTTAGGACACTAGTTAAAGACATCCATGTCCCATATCGGTGCACCTGGGTCCAATTCCTGCTTCCAGCTTCCAGATCCAGGGAGGCAGGACGGACAGCTCAGGTACTTGGGTTCCTCTCACTCTCATGAAAGTTCTAGATTGAGTGCTTGGCTCCCGGCTCTGGCCCCAAGCCTGGAGCCACTGTGGGCATTTGGGAAGTGAATCAGCATATGAGAGCAAGTGTGTGCAGTTTCTCAACAAAGACAGGAATGGGGGGGGGGGGGTACAGGGGAAGGCAGAAAAAGAAGTTATTCACCTACACGTATGTGTTCTTTCAAAACATCTATCCTAATCGATTCAGATTTTTGTACTGACAGTTACTGACATTAAGAATGAACTTGTCAGTTCATAATCATCTTTATTTCTGTGGTATTAGCTATAAAAACGAGAACCCCATGGAAGAAGCCCATTTTTACAATTTATACTTCTTTTGAAGTTCAGTACTTTAAATCTACAATTATCAATTAATATTTTGATTTACTTAACAATGGAGAAAAATTACTATGGGAGAACCAGAAGAAAGACGGTTATAGGGACTTCTTTTATTTCACTTTGAAATAATTTCAGTTTCACTGATGCTTCAGTACTAGGAACTAAAAGATCACTTTGCAGTTTCAGTGTTCCATATGAATACCAAATATAGAAGCATTTTCTTTAAGGGGAGCTGGGGGTTACTGGGCCGCAGGAAGCAAGCTACACAGCCCAATACTAAGGTAATTAGGCATACTTTCCTCAGGGGTACACCAAGAGATAAAGGATCAGACAGCAAAAAGACTAAGGGCTTGGGTTCTGTTGAGAGACAGACAAGAAATGTGCCCAGTAACGAGCATCACAACACAATGAAACCAGATGGCTCAAGGAGTGCCAGAGGCTGAACAGAGGTCTAAAGAGGTCACAGGTTGCAATGACTAACCAATTGCTTTTGTACAGGCGTCATAATGAAAACTAAGAATACACATTTATCCTCTTACGCATGTTTTAACATGACAACAAAGCAGATGTGCATCAGTCCAAAGCAGGTTTGCGTCTTACTTCCACTCCTCTGGGGGGTGGGCGAGCTCATACTTCTCCCTCACGCTGGAGACGCCCATGTCCACGTGGAGCCAGTGAACCTCCTTGGACCGCAGGTGACTGAGGCGGAATCCATAGCAGGCCACGTGCTTTACCTTGTGACTGTCCACTGTCTGCTGAATGATGCCCCTGACATCAGTAGCATCTCCATGCCTGATAATACTGGCCCAGGTGGTTGGCTCACTATTGCTTTCAAAGTAATGAAAGACTTTCAATACTCGCTCCATGGCACCAGGGGAGCGCTCCATGCCAGGACCCAGGTGAGTCTTGGCACTGGGATTCGGTGTGTGATTCAAGTTTGGGTCGAGGTAAGCAGCTGCCATTGTTTTGCTAGATGCTAGGTATCTGTCATATTCTTATGAAAACCAAGGGACAACAGGTCTCTAAATACAACACGCTGGCAAAGGCGACGATATAGATGCTGTTCACTTTCCTTGTGGAGCTTCGTAACAATGACTGGACTCCCCTTCCGTTACTCTTGAGGGGCTCTGGGAAGTGGAGGAAGGCACTGCATTTGTAACTGGAAGACTCGGGAGCGCCAGTTCTACAGTTCAGAAGGCCGCAATAACTCCGTGAAGAAATCAAACGATTTTTAAAATACTCCTAGTTTCTTTCTTCTGTCCATGGCAGTCAGAGGACTCCGGCCGCGGCTCAGCACCGTGCGACCGCGCTCCCTCCCACGCCTCGCGCCGGGGGCGCACAGCGGTGCTGGCCCGGAGGCGGTGGCGGCGGCCGCAAATGTGATGTTAATTCATGGATTCTCTTTATCTGGTTTTTGATTGCTATCATTGACAATTCATTCTCCCTTTTAGCTCTCTCAATATTATAGCTTTAATATCTCTTTTCTTCAGTCTACAGCAAGAGTTATAGTCTGGTGGAATCAGTCAATTAGCCTATGAAAATATTTGCATAGAATTCTAACTTATCCACTAGTTTATTAAAGTAAATTTTAATGAATGGTTTCTAGAGAATAACATTGCTTTGTATTACAGAGAATATTCTAGGCAATTTCAATTAGCTAATGATTATGTGTTCAGAATTCAGAGGAAATGTGACTGTGAAAAATATTGTATCAAGCCATTGGAGCTGGATTTAAAGAGCTGACCACATTTTATTAAGCTTTTTATGGAATTTATTTTTTCCTGTCCTAAAAGCAAGAGATAAAATCCAGAGTATCAAGATTGTGACTTTATGACTCTTTATAAAAATGGAAGTTTTGAGGGAATTACTTGCCAAAGATAGTTGATAATGATCATCTGTTTAGCTTAATGTACAAAGAAAAGGAGATTAGCCTTCCCTGAAATCATATGCAAGTAAGAAAGATTTGGTTTCTTTGAAAAGTTATATATTTGTTCAATTTAAGAGACCCGACTGGCCTGAAAGCCATTTTCTGAGTTTCAGATATAAATATAATTCTTTTAATTGGTAAAAGTGGTTGCAGATCAGTAAAGTAGGCAGAGGTGAGTGACCTAATTTTGATAAAGAATGGAAGAAGGTGACACATGTACCTTGCCTGGATGTTGGCATAGACTAATCAAGCTATTGTCACTAAGCATAAACTATCCCAAGGGAACACTAATAGTTGTTTTACATACTATTTTAAGGTTTTTATGTAACGCAACTTATTTTTCTTTCTTTTTTATTATTTGAGAGGCAGAGACAAAGAGGATGAGGAAGTGAAAGTGAGAGAGGGTGGGGGAAATTCTGTCTGCTGGTTTACTCTCAAAACTCACAATAGCAGAGACTGGGCCAGGGTAAAGATGGAAGCTAAGAATTCAATCCAGGTCTCCCAATAGGTGGCTGAGATCCAACAACTTGAGCCATCACCTGCTGCCTCCCAGGATCTGCACTAACAGGAAGCTAGAATTTGGAGTGGAGCTGGGACTCAAACCCAGATACTCTTACATTAGATGTAAGCATCTCGGCCAGCACTGTGGCTCACTAGACTAATCCTCTGCCTGCAGCGCTGGCGCACCAGGTTCTAGTCCCAGTTGGAGCACTGGATTCTGTCCCGGTTGCTCCTCTTCCAGTCCAGCTCTCTGCTGTGGCCCGGGAAGGCAGTGGAGGATGGCCCAAGTTCTTGGGCCCTGCACCCGCATGGGAGACCAGGAGGAAGCACCTGGCTCCTGGCTTCGGATCGGCGCAGCGCGCTGGCTATAGCGGCCATTTGGGGGGTGAACCAACAGAAGGAAGACCTTTCTCTCTGTCTTTCTCTCTCATTGTCTAACTCTGCCTGTCAAAAAAAAAAAAAAAAGATGTAAGCATCTTATCATATATCTTCACTGCTAAGCCAAATGCCTATCCATTATTCTACACTACTACACTACATTATTCTATTTTTTTCTATCAAAAACTCACATAGATTCATTAGAATATGAAAAAGATTCAGTTTCTTCTGTACAGGTGGCAGAGCGGCAGCAGCTGCGGTGGCTTTGTACATGGTTGTCGACGTCACCCTGGCACAGGCACTGCTGCCCATGGGACAGGAGATGGGCAGGTGGGCTTGGTGCCTGCGGCCCAGTGCACTGGGAGGTGGGACACTGACTATTGCACGATCCTGGGAGGGGGAGTGTCCTGGGGGGGACCAACACCGACAGGCCCGGGCCTGGCCATGGTGTCAGTGATGGGGGGAGTGTGTGTCTCTGGGGGCCCAGGTCCCTGCCCAGCCCAGCAGCCCTGGCTGCAGCGGGAGATCCACGGGGCCTTCTCCCTGAGGACTGGGCTCCATAGCAAGCAGGCTGCGGTGAACGCGAGGTCGGGGCTCCAGGGCCAACCCAGCGGTAATACAGGCAACAGTCTCTGGAATTAGGGGTTAAAAATTTTAAAAGTGTTCTTTTAAGAATATTAGGTTTCTGGGGCCAGTACTGTGGTGCCAGAATTGCATATGGGCACTGGTTCATGTCTAGGCTGCTGTTCTGATACAGATCTCTACTTATGGCCTGGGAAAGCCGTGCAATATGGCCTATGAACCCGCATGGGAGACCTGGAAGAAGCTCCTGGCTCCTGCCTTCACACTGCTCAAGCTCCAGCTATTGAGGCTATTTGGGAGTGAACCAGCGGATAGAACACTTTTCTTTCTGTCTCTCCCTCTGTCTGTAACCCCACCTCTCAAATAAATACACAAAATGTTTAAAAAATGTTTCTTAGTTATGTATTTGCTATTTGCAGAACCATTTTTTTAAACACAGAGAAAACCTTCACAGGGAAAAAATTATACAACACACACACACAGAGACACACACACAGACACACACACACACACACTTTTCTGTTTTTAATTTGGCATTTTATAGCCACTGAAAAAAATCTTTTATTAAAAGAAAGCAACATTATATCCTTCCTGGATTCAAAACCAGGATGAGCAATGCTTCCATCTGTCACATTTATGTGGCCCCCAGTTCCTGATATATTTGCCTTCACAATTTTCTCCCATTTAGTTCTTTAATATCAGGAATCTCTGAGGCTTCTTCCTTTCTGTAGCTGAGGTTAGAATATCATTTTCTCAGATGATGCATCTTGACTGGCTGTGGATGTACCACCTCCTTCTCTCTCTCCCATGGACTCTAGTTTATGTACCCAATAGCATTCAGCAGATTCTTCTTAATGCGGGAATCAAAAAGACAGATAAGTAAGATACATGGACTGTCTTCAAAGATAAATAAGCTGGTAAAACAAAGAGATAAATAAGAGTATGATTTTGAACTAGTGACTAATCTTGGTGGATTATGTTTCCTAATAACTCTGAGGGGCAGAGAGAAAATCATCAATCAAAAAGCTTGAAAATAATCTGAGAAAAAATGGCATCACATATTTTATAAGTTAGGAGCAGAGAGGTAAGATGTGACTTAAAAGCTCAAAGAAACTGTAAAACTGATTGATGGAGTTAGAGGCCCAGGGGGAAAAAAAAGTTGATTCTCTTTGAAGAATTCCAGTCAGTCTTAGAAATTGGAAGTGTATACCACAGGATGTCTCTGTGGGCATGAGAATTACCCAACTGTCTCAGAAATTAATGAATTAATTAAGAATAGTGAATTAAGATTTCAGCAGGTTTAGAATGTAATCAGGCTAACAACGATAGGATTAACACTTCTAAGAAGGAGGACTGGCTCCAGAAAAATACAGATGAAACCAATAAATTGCCCTCTGAGTCTGTAGACAGAGATTTACATCTTTGATGAAGCATGAAAACAATTAGCATATCAAAGGAATATGGGAGTTATTAACTCTAGGATAAATAGAGGATCAAAAAGAAAGGAGATCTATATATATGTAATAGACTAGTCATATATTATTTAAATACTATATTGATCTATCCCCACATCTTGATAAAACCAGGTTGGGAGAATGAGGATAAAGGAAATATTCTGGTGGGGTAAGGGCGGCGGCTATAAGGGTCAGTCTGTTGTCTTCAATAGAAGGAAGTTAGTAGATAATTCATAAAACCAAACATTAAATCCAATATTAAAATATTTCATGCAGAAATAGGTAAATAAATAATGAAAGAAATAAAAACTTAAATTCTTGCTTTGGAAGAAAGAATGGAGAACCAAGAAATAGGGCACTAATGACCTCCTTCAGTGTAAATCCAGTGGACATTTTGTCTTTGCTTTTCTGAGTTGTTTAATAAGAATTAAAACACTTCTACGTTCAAAAAAAACAATGTTAAGCAATCTGTGCATATTAAGTAGCGTTCAGTCATTGCAGAAGCTGTGGTTTGGGTAAGGCCGCCACATGACCCCCTGCCCCTGCCTCACTACCAAGGGTGTGTATGTTGACATTCAATACCCATTCTGAGATGTTGCAAGGCTGAAATTTGATTGGAATATAATGTTTAGAGGTGGGACCTTTGGAGCTGGTTCAGATTTGGTAAATTAATCAAGGTGGAGCTCTCATGACTGGATACTGGTGGCTTTGTAAGAAAGGAGAGGAATCAAGAGGTGCACACTCACATATGCATTCTTGATCCAAGATGACCTTGGATGCCCTGGCTCTCTGCCAGCAAGCAGGCAATTCCCAGAGGCAAGGTCATGACCTTGGATCAGAATCATGAGCTAAACACACTCCCTTTGTGTTGAAACTGCCCTGGTCTGTGCAATAGAAAACAGACTAATACATAAAATTGGGACTGAGCCTTGGTGCTGTTGCTAATAACACACATCTAAAATTGGGTAAGTGGCTTTGGAGTTGGGTTATGGACAAAGGTTGAAAGAATCTGGAGAAGGCTGGAAAAATGCTATAAGCAGTGCATTGTGGGAGATTCTGGGAAGGGTTCAGAAGATGAGACTAGGGAAAGCATCTCAGATAGAAATGAGTATTCTAGTAGAAATTACTAAAGGCCAGCACTGTTACACTGGTAAAGCCTCTATCTGCATTGTATCTGTGCCCTAGGACTTTATGGAGGATCAAAATTAAGAATGATGAAGTGGTTTACCTTACAGAAAAAACTTCAAAACAGCAATGCTTTCAGGCCATGGCATGGGTACTGTTGGCCACTTTTAGTCAGGTGACACATGGGAATAAAAGGAGGCAGAGCCGAGGGATTTGTAAAATTTGAAGTGTAGCTAGGGAAGGAGGGAAGGTAAAGTGTCAAGAGTGGGGCTGAGTTCTGACTTGTGAAAGATTAGTGAAGATAAAAGAGAGCCATGTGTTAACGGACAAGACAATGACAAAGAGGCACCAGGATGTGTCAGAAATCCCAGAGACATGTGGATTCATTCCCATGCATTCAGCTAGTAAAACACTCCATGGCTACAGCTGTAGTTCTAGCAGGACCAGGTACAGCTTGTGCTGACATCAGTACCAGGCACCCACATACAGCTGGTTTTGCAGGTGCATAGAACCTAACAGTGTGGGCATATGGTGGCTTCTACCAAGATTTCAAAAGCCTGAGAGGGCAGATAGGAACTTGCTACAGGATCAGAAGTTCTGTGGAGAGGCCTGATGGGGTAATGTCTATGTTGTCATGGAAGTTAAGCTGCAGCATGGAACCCAACTGTTTAGAAGAATTCCTATAACTCACAGAATACATTTCAAAGTCCTTAATTTCTATAGAATGAATTTTTGAGTCTTCCAAAATTTCAAGTGTTGGAATCCTAACCTCCAATGTGATAGTATTAGGAGGCAGGGCCTCTGGGAGGTAATTATGTCATGAGGATGGCACCTTCATGCATGGGATTAGTGCCCTTAGAAGAAGTGACACAGAGTTTGCTTCCTGTCTCTGCTCTCCCACATGAGGACACAATGAGAAAACAGCTGTCTCTAACCAGAAAGAAAGCCCTCACCAGAACTGATACCCCGACCTTGGACTTCCCAACCTCCAGATCTGTGAGAAATAAATTACTGTTATAACAACCAGGCTGACTGAGACAAGCTTGAAGGTGAGTTGGACCCTGTGTGATCTATTATTTTTCTCTACTCTTGTTCTATTCTGATTCTGAAACTTTTAGTTTTTTGATTGCACTATGATCTCTCTACTCCCATGGCTTTTCTTCTTCCTGCTGACTCTGGCTGGAAATTTGCCATCCTTGAACTCTCCTTCTACTGTGTGTCTCCTGCTCATTCATGATCTCCAGTTAGATGTACTTTTCTCCAGAAACTCTCCAGTGTATCCCCAAGGTTGGGCTCTTTGATCTTCCTGCGTGCTCCTCTTTACTTTATCCTTCAGAGAACTGATGGTCTTGGATTATAATATCCTTACTTGTCCATGCTTCCCAGTAGTCTACAAACTCCTTGGGGGCAGAGGCTGTGCCAATCATTTTTCATCATTTTATCTGCATAGCACATTGCTAAGTTCACAGTAGTGTTTTTTTCTAAGCAAATACTGAATGAATGAAAACTGAACACCACTCTGCTCTCTTCAATCAATGCTATGGTTGACATATGACTTGTCTCCCAAGCGTCCCTGTGTTGTAAGCTTGGTCCTCAGTGTGACTGTGTTGAAGGGGTGGACTCTTCAGAGGTGGGTGTATGGCAGGAGTGAACTAGGACACTTTGGGGTACTGCCCTGAGAAGAGATTAAGATTCGGGGGAAGTGATAACAAGGTAGTGCAATATATAATTTCAGTTGAGTTTGTCTTAGCAAAAGGTCAGGCTTTTTCCATTATTCTAAGTGTTTCTTCAAATTTGCAAGATGTTATATTAGTTGTTACTATGCAAGAAGCCTGGTGCCATTTTATGGCCATTCACAATCTCCAGTTGTGGAATTTTTAAATTGTGTGCAAACTGGTAAAATAAAGATCTCTAGGAAGACAAAGATAATCTGGAAATGTGTGAAACTGAGAAGAGGGGATTTTTCACCAGGCTTCTAGATGCCATTAAATTAGTTTGTGTATAAAAAGACCTTTAATCAGAGTTTGGCACAGAAATAATGACAATTACTTTCCTATGAAAGACTGCAAGAGGTGCTCACTACTTGTTCAGCAAATTTCACAATGAACATTCACACCCATATTAGGGACACAGAATCAGTTAGCAATTTCCGACAAGAAAAGGGAACTAATTGCATTTCTCAGCACAGCATTTGGAAAACTTACTAGCAGAAGGAAGCAGAGTTAAACTGAGAGAAGTGTGGAGTGAGGGGTGGTGACTGTATCTGGACAAAGAGCCTGGGGCACTCTCCCAGAGTCTGGCATTCATCAGACACACAGCAGACACTGCAGGCTGCAAGAAAGGTAGGTCCAAGGACTTGCCTTCCTGGTCTGTGGGGTTGATGATGTTTCATTTCCTAGTTCTGGAATCCCTGGGAGTCGAATGAGAGAAAGTGAAGCCACTTCCAGTGATACAAGCTAGTATTCTGGGTGGAGTGGATTGAGCTGCTTTATATGTACATTTGGGGATGTTGTGAAGCAGAGCATGGGGGAAAGTAAAGTCCTGAATCATAGAGTTAGTTATCGACCTTTGTGTTCTAAATTCCCAGGGTGAAAAAAAAAGGGCTGAAAGCAGTACTTTAAACTTTTGACTATTTATTTCAGATACTCTTAATGTCCCCTTCTTCCGTGGGCTTTCTTCTCTGTCTCCAATGTGCTATTTTTATAATTCAAAGTTTAAGAGAAGTTCTGCCGCATGCAAAATTTGGTGGAGTTGGTATAGGGTAAAGGACCCCTATCTAATACAGTGAGACTGGTCTCAAGATAGACTGTGGCCTGCCAAGTTCTCCAACAATCTTTAGCCATAAACTGAAGCAGCTCATGGGGAAGTACACTCACAAAAAACACCTTGAAGAATCAGCTTTCTTAGGAGCAGAGAGAACCTTGGGGGTAGTTGTGTTCAACGCAGATTTCCTCAGATGAGATAAATCAACCCAACTCGTCTACATTACGTTTATAGGACAAAATGTAAAATTAATTAAACTGCACTCTGAAGATGGATCTGGGAAGGCTTCTAGTTCCAAGAATGAGCTCTGATTAGAAAAGGAAGAATCCAAAATATGGTGAAATAAATAATAATGCAGATTGTTCTCTGTATTTAACTACTATTTAAGTGCTTCTTCAATGGGGATATGCCTGTAATCCAGGGTATATGCAGTAAAAGGTATAGAGATAGAATCTGAGCAGAAGTGGGATACGAACTTGAATAAATTTCCCTAAGCTGAGGTGTCTGGCACATTTGCCTCAGATCTGTTCACGTTTTCCTTAGATCAAGGTTTCTAGTATCTTGATATCAAGGGGCACTTAGGCTGTTCCCCTCTGTCTTCTATCAGTGTGTTACTTACCATCCCTGGCTTTTAAAAGCTATAGTGATATAGGTAGGGAATACAGCCCAGAATGTGGCCTTAGGGAGGAACCTGCCTCGGAGTGTTATATCCCTCTTATCATCTTCAGAACTTTTTCCTAAATTTCATTTCTTGTTCCAGCACCATATCTACTGCCATGACAATAATACAAGGAAATGAGCAAACCAGAGCAGATGCTGGCCCTGCCCTGTCCCAACCAGGACAGCAAGCCAATCTAAACTCATATATGTGGAAAGGGTTGGCAGAGAAGTTCCTGAAAGGGGAACCCAAAGTCCTTGGAGTAAGTCATTTTTGGATCTGGGAGAAGACTGGCATCATTGTAAACTGTGAACTATTCCAAATTAATGTTAAATACTATATTCCACTAACCTCATACTACGTACATCATCTATCTTTGGGGAAATATGCTATTTATGTTGACATAGGCTAGGCTTTTAAAAATATATCAATAATTATTTTAAAGATTTTATTTTTAAAGCAGTTTTAGATTTAAAGATAAATTGAGAGGATAGTATATGTATGAGTATATCCCATAAATCTCTTGTATAAGCCCTCACACTTACATACTTTCCCTGTTACTAACCTTCCCCACCAGAGCAGTGTGTTTGTTACAATTGATGAATCTGCAAGGGCATATCATTAACACTCAAAGTCTGTAATTGGTATGTTCTTTAAAATCGGAAAAAATGTATGAAGACATGTATTCACCTTTACAACATCATCCAAAGAAGTTTCACCACTATAAAAATCCTCTGTGCTCTTCCTTTCCATCCTTCCCTGTCCTCTAAACCCTTCACAAATGTTCCATAGTGTATCTTCTCCAGAAAAATCACACAATTAGAAATTATATAACATGTATCCTTTTAGATAAACTATCAATTTAATATACATTAAGTTTACTCCATTTTTCCAATGGCTTGATTGCTTATTTACTTATCACTAAATAATACTCTATTGCCTGGAGGTGTAATAGTTTATTTATGTGTCTGCTTTCTGAGGGACATCTGCCAAAACTTGGCAGTTCTGCATAAAGCTGTTAGAAGTATCTGTGTCCAGGTTTTGTGTAGACAAAAGTTTTCAACTCATTGAGTCAAAACAACTGTTGGATTGTATGGTCTATTAGTCTGTTTTGTTTTGCTACAATGAGATACCTGAGGCTGGGTAATATATAAAGAAAAGAGGCAGCCGGCGCTGCGGCTCAATAGGCTAATCCTCCACCTGTGGCGCCGGCACCCCAGGTTCTACTCCTGGTCAGGGCGCTGGATTCTGTCCCGGTTGCCCCTCTTCCAGGCCAGCTCTCTGCTGTGGCCCTGGAGTGCAGTGAAGGATGGCCCAAGTGCTTGGGTCCTGCACCCCATGGGAGACCAGGAGAAGCACCTGGCTCCTGGCTTCGGATCAGTGCGGTGTGCCAGCTGCAGCACGCCAGCCGCAGCGGCCATTGGAGGGTGAACCAACAGCAAAAGGAAGACCTTTCTCTCTGTCTCTCTCTCACTGTCCACTCTGCCTGTCAAAAAAGAGAAGAGAAGAGAAGAGAAGAGAAGAGAAGAGAAGAGAAGAGAAGAGAAGAGAAGAGAAGAGAAGAGAAGAGAAGAGAAGAGAAGAGAAGAGAAGAGAAGAGAAGAGAAGAGAAGAGAGGCTTATTTAACTCATGATTCCAGTGCTTGGAGAGCCCAAATGGTGTGGTACTGGTGTCCTGGAAAGGGGCTCTGGGGCCACATGACAACACAATGGAGAAGTGGAAGGAGAAATGGCCAAGTGTGGAAGAATCCAAGCACATTGAGGCCAAGACTTGATGTATAACAAGGTGTTCCACTCTGCAAGAGCAGTATGCATTCTTTCTGAGGCCATTGCTCTCACCACCTAATTGCCAGCTAGGCTCTATCTATCTCTTAAAGATCCACCACCTCAACAACAACACAAGCTCCCAGCGCATGAATCTTAGAGAATGAAATCATACCCTAACCAAAGCATCCTGCCCCTGCCTCCATGGTTCATGTCCTCTCACACTACAAAATGCATTCTCTCCCTACTTATAGTGCCAAATGTTTTCGCTTTTTCCAGCGTAGCTCAGAAGTCTGTGTACAGGATCTCATCTCAGACATAAGGCAAGCTCTTTATAGTTGTTAAATTGTAAAATACACACACACACACACACATTAATACTTCTCTGATGCCATAGCTGGACAGTGTCGCTCCCCCTCTTTGCGGAGAAACGACACTAGACCCTGCACTGTTCTTTTATCTGCTCGGCCCTCCCCGGGTTTGCTGCTGGTCCTTCCCGGGTTGGCTGCCGTCCCTTCCACCTCCGTGGAAGGGCGGGCCCCCCTGCCACTTTCCCCACTTCCGCGGGGGAGCGGCACACCGCCGGCCGGCTCTCTCGGGTGCTGCTCAGATGTTCCTTCAGATAGATGTTCCCCTTAGATGTTCCTGGTATATGTTGTCTCTCTCCTCCTTTATAGTCCTCTTCCTCCAATCCCAACTCTGCTACCCACACGCCGAGTACGCTGCTCTCCTCCAATCAGGAGCAGGATCAGCTCCTGCAGGTTATTGGTCGAACTGGAAGCAGCTGTGTAAAAGTTGTTTACTCCTCTCCCAGCGCCATATTGTGGGAGAGCAGATGCATAGAATAAGTCTTAATTCCAGTAACTTAGTCTAGTCCAAGTTGCTCCCCACAGACAGGAGTCGGAAATACATTCCTAGACATAAGCTAAAAGAAAGTGGTCACAATCCTCCAGCAATATCAAAACCCAGCAGGGCAGATAATATACTCTTGAAGAATTTACTGGGGGGGGAGGGGTGCATAGGGCAGGCAAGGCTTTGGGCAGCCCCGCCCCCACAGTTTTGGTGAGCTGTCCAGATGGCCTGGACAGTGAGCTCATAGAGAATGCCCGAGGCTATTTCCCTTAACAGGTCTTCTATACAAGGCCCCTGGGCCTGTGAATAGACGAGCAGCCTGGAAGTTTTCTGAGCTGTCCTTTGTTGGTTTCTCCTACCCATAATCTTGATGCACAGTACTTGGCTCATTTTGATAATTTTTTTTTCCTTTTCTTTGAATTTCTTTTTATCTATGGGGGAATTGTACTCCAAATCTCTCATTTTTAGATTCCTATGCTTAGACCCCAGGCCTCAGGCCCAAGAGAATGTCATATTTACTCTTCATTTTTTTCTCATGTATCTGGTTTTTTCCTTCAGTTATTTCTCATTGCTCCAATAATTACTCTCTAATTCTAAGACCATTCCCATCTGAGCACTGACAAAAGAAAGAAGTGGTTGTGGAAGGCCTGGCATCACAGTTATCAAAAAGGCCCCCATGGGCAGGTTCTGGCAGACTCATTGTAATCCTGGAGTTACTGAGGCAATAAGAGTTATCCAGAGAGATGATGTTAATATTAGTTCATCCACAGTTCTTTAAATTAAAAATGTGATAAGAGGGTATCACAGAAGTCATCTGATTACAGCAAAAGATGGAGAATGAGGGCTTCTGGTGGTTGGACGGGGGTGGCTTGGGCCATGTTTTGGTGGAGGATAATCACTTTTTATTTTCCTCATCATTTCTAGGTTGTACAGATTATGATTGCTGTGATGACCATGAGTGTTGGAGTAACAATGTTGAGTGCCACATTGCCGTATAGGGGGCCACATCCCATTTCAGTGTACACATTTTACACAATTTGGGGGTCAGTCATGGTGAGTGGAATACTTTCTGGCAAATGGAGATAGAGTAACACAGTTGTTAATAGCTTAAGCTTTGGGATCCTATCCTAAATATCTTCTGGTACAATGACTTTGACAATAATTGGTAACCTTTTGACTCAGCATGTTTTATATGTGCATTTATATTTCAAACTCACCACAAACTCTGAAGGAGGATTTATCATCATCTTCATTATGGATGAAGAAATTGGAATTTATAAACATTAAGTAATGTGCCCCAGGTCTATTTGGTACAGGAATCAGATTAGGTCAGTCTAATGTCAGAACTGCATACAGTTAACCACTCTTGTTTTCTGCTTTCATCTTCATTTCCTTTTCAAGTCCACATTGCAAACCAACTTCCATAGTTTATGCCCTTCACTCCAGAACTGCAGGAGTTGTGTTTGTTGGTTCAGTGATCACTCAGACTGTAGCAGGTATCCTCTATTTGATAAGTGAAATAATTTTTTGCTGCTACTATTTAGTAATCTTTCAACCTTATATCCAAATCCTTCCCTGTAAAGTGCCTCTTTTTTCTACCTTACACAGTTCAAGTACCAATACTAAGAACCAATCACAGATTTCTCTTATTTTTGACTCCTTTAATCTCAAGGATAGTTACATGGCTTTTACTAGAATTCCACAAGATTATCCCCATATTAGCCTTTTTGTTTTATTTTGTTTTGAGTACTTTGGGAACATTGTAAAATTTCATTCCTATATAACTTTCACATTCCTTGTTATGTTTATTTCTGTAAGGTAATAAATATGAGGACATTTCAATAAGTTCCTTGGAAAACTGGCATTAAAAGATAAGTTTATTTTGATGCAAAAAATTTTCAAGTCCATACATAGTTTCTTTATAATACGTGTTATCCGTGAACTTATTGGAGCTCCCCATATATAGCCATAGTTTTAGTCATTTATTTACTTATTTTTGCTATGATAAATGAGGTTCTCTTGTTCAATCCTATCTTCAAAAACACATCTCTAATAGGCACATAGAATTTATGTATATAATGCTTTTCCATGTGCTTTACTAAATTTTTTAGAACTCTATAGTACTTTTTGGTAATATTCTTGGATATTTGTAGTATAATTCATTCATACTTAAATAATAACAATTTTAGTTACTTGTTTTAAATATTTGTCTTATATAATTATTTTGGTTAACATATCCAGAATAGTACATAATAGGGTAGTAACATTATCTTGATATTTTTGAAGATTTATTTTGTTTATTTGAAAGGCAGAGTTACAGAGAGTGGGAAAGACAAAGAGATCTTCCATCAGCTGGTTCATTCCCCTAATGGCCTTGAAACTCAGAGCTGGGCCAGGCCAAAGCCAGGAACCTAGAAATCCATCAGGGTCTAACATGGGACAGTTTCTTATTAAGATAATTGATTACTTAACATATCTATCTAATTTAACACTAAATTTTTAACTCCTATTTAATGAATATAAATTTCCAAAGTACAGCTTTTGGATTATAGCGGCTTTCCACCCAACCCCATAACCACCCTCCCACCCACAACCCTCCTATCTCCCGCTCCCTCTCCCATCCCATTCACATCAAGATTCATTTTCAATTATCTTTATATACAGAAGATCAACTTACTATATACTAAGTAAAGATTTCAACAGACTGCACCCACACAGAAACACAAATTGTAAAGTACTGTTTGAATACTAGTTGTACCGTTAATTCACATAGTACAACACATTAAGGACAGAGATCCTACATGGGGAGTAAGTACACAGGGACTCCTGTTGTTGATTTAACAATTGACACTCTTGTTTATGGCTTCAGTAATCACCTAAGCTCTTGTCATGAGTTGCCAAGGCTATGGAAGCCTTTTGAGTTCGCAAACTCCGATATTATTTAGACAAGGTCATAGTCAAAGTGGAAGTTCTCTCCTCCCTTCAGAGAAAGGTACCTCCTTCTTTGATGGCCTATTCTTTCCACTGGGATCTCACTCGCGGAGATCTTTCATTTAGGTGGTTTTTTTTTTTTTTTTTTTTTGCCAGAGTGTCTTGGCTTTCCATGCCTGAGAAACTCTTTAGCCAGATCTGAATGCCTTAAGGGCTGATTCTGAGGCCAGACTGCTATTTAGGACATCTGCCATTCTTTGAGTCTCCTGTGTATCCTGCTTCCCATGTTGGATTGTTCTCTGCTTTTTAATTCTATCGGTTAGTATTAGCAGCCACTAGTCTTTTTTATGTGATCCCTTTGACTCTCAATTAATTTAGGACTAAATTTTAATGTTATGATTTCTAATTTTTGTTTAGTGTTTTAAAACTGAATTCCTTTTCTTTATTACTAGTTTATTTTGTCAGGATCCTTCTCAGTTGCAGCAGGAACTAGAACTACAAAAGGTCTGGTGAGCAATCTTTCATTTTATTTTATTTTGATACTAAAAGAAGAAGAGCTTAATCAACTGTGTATCCTGACAAATTATACTAAGAAAACTAATATAACATTACATAAAGAAAACATTTTTTTTAAAAATCAAGGAAGACTGAGTTTTATTTAGTAGGATCTGTATTTTTTTTATTTTTTATTTTACTTGAGATGCAGAGTTACACACAGAGAAAGGGAGAAACAGAGAGAGGTCTACCAACTGCTGGAACTTGGCCGATCAGAAGCCAGGAGCAAAAAGCTTCTTGCAGGTCTCCCACATGAGTACAGGGTCCCAAGCACTTGGGCTATCATCCACTGCTTTCTCAGGCCATCAGCAGGGAGCTGGATTGGAAGTGGAGCAGCCAGAACTCAAACCAGCACCCATATGGGATGCCTGCACTGCTGGTGGATGCTTAACCTACTACACCAAAGTGCTGGCCCTAGTATTTTTCAAAAATTGTAATCAACAACTGGCTATTGGTAGAATCACTGGCATTAGACTGGACATTTTGACTAGGTGGTTGCTGAGAACATCTTTCTGAAGATATAGAGTTCCTGAGAAGCAATGCCAAGTGGCATTAGTCACACAAGCCTTGAAGCTTGAGGTCCAGCCCATGCCAACGACACCTAGTCAATGTGGTGTAATATTTTAGCTGACTGATCTGTGTACTCCTACTGTATCCAAAAAGAAATTTGAATTTGCAATGGAAGAAATTCACAATAAGCTATGACCTAAGAAGAGGCAAATTTAGAATATAGCTCTCGTGTTGATGCTTTTTTTGATAAAGCCAATAAAAGACAAAAGCCCAGATCCCAACAAATATTTTTCTGACTAAAGACCACATTTAAACTTTCTTTGATCAAAAAATAAACACCAAACTCTGGAGAATGTCAGTAAGGCCTTTCCAGATCTCTCCTCAAGCTGCCTCTCTAGAATCTCCTCCAGCTAAAACTGTCTAGTGTCACACTGAAAGTCTCACACTTTTGTAAGCAATTTTAGTCTTTTATAAAAAAACCCTCTTACCTTCACAAATAAAAAGAGAATGTGGGTACAGCAGAGAGAGAGAGAGAGTACACAAAAGGTATAGAGGCATGAGACAAGCAGTATTTAAGATACATGATGTCGGGCATTGCAGAAGATGGACACACATAGCGCTATCTAGTCAAAGTGTAAATGGTACTGAAAACCCTGCTAAGCAGGCTTGAATTTTATCACAGGTGTCCAGTGGAGTCAGCCTCAGAATTTAAGCTTGGAGTAACAGAATCATATCTGTGATTCAACAAGAGATGAGAGTTGAAACTACTATAAGGAGAGAGGCAAGGCAGGACTTCTGGAATAATCAATATTCTAGTTTAGTGGATGGAATTGTGTTGGGGAAGAAAGGGTGGAGGAGGTAAAGGAATTGAAGGAGAGGTATCTGACAGTACGACTGGATTATTTAATTGATTTGCAATCCTTTCTAGGTACAAGGCAGCCTAGGATTGAACATCACCAGCTCTGTCTTGGCTGTATTTGGGATCATAATCAGTGCAACAAGCTTGAGTATTTATTCATTCCATCATCCTTACTGTAACTATATTATAGGACGTGATAGTTGCTTCATGACCATTTCCATTTTACTGGTGAGTTCTTCCCTTTTTCATAGATTACTGTGGGGGAAGCAGGTTTAGGGAGGATTTGCTCCAACAAAAGCACCAATCAACATTTCCTAATTGCTGAATTACTTTGGGAAACTGGAAGTGATTGAAGAACAGGATACTCTTTTTATTTTTTAGGAGTCAGGTTCACATCTCCTCTCTCTTAAATCCTTTGCTATCTGTGAAGAGATAAAGTACAAAGAAAATTCAGTTTTAGAATAGCTACTTGTTAATTGTTACTGTCCTGGGCATTTTGCTTAATTTTTCCTGTTTAATTTTAAAATACTAATCAATTTGCATAGTTATCCCTTGTAAAAGTCGAGTACAGATGTCAGCCCCTACATATCTAATAGGGCTTCCTGGTAGACCCTGATGGAGTTACTTTGTTCCTTACTCACAAATGAAGATTGTCTTGAACATTATCCTTCAGTGGTGAGTAACCCATTGTCTTTTCAAGGATGTTCTTTTAATGTTAATCATTTTTAACCTCAACATTCAGGTGCTGGTAAATTCTCAATCTCAGTTCTGTATCTTTACTCTTTTTTTGTACAAATTGCCCTCATCTAGATTTGTTTTATTCTGCAAATTAAGTCTTACACAAGTGTTTTCAAGCAGTAAAACTTCCTGAAGTTTTAGGCCTTTGAGAAAATGCAAGGATGAAGAGTTATGGCAGCACATCATGGAAGACTGAAATGCACAGTTAAATCTTTACTATTGTGCCAGCATTGTGGGCAATGGGCTTAGCTACCACTTATGACCCCAACATTCCATATTGGAGCATTGGTTCAAGTCCTGGCTGCTCTGCTTCCAATTCTACTTCCTGTTACTGTGCCTGTGAAGACAGCAGAAGGTGGTGCCTTCCACTCATGTGGGAGACCCGGATGGAATTCTTGGCTCCTGGGTTTGGCCTGGCGCAGACCTGACTGTAAATAAATATTTTGAAAAAAATCTTTACTATTAAAAAGCCTACTGCCTGTTCTCAAAACCACTAAGTTTTCTTTTATCTTCTCTCTGTAGTTACCTTCCAACCCTTCATCTTGCTTCATAGTGGTTTTCTCATTTTTTCCTTCCTATACCCAAATGTGGAAATTCAGTACTCTCACTAACTTACTATGTAGAGCCAGTCACATTTCCTGTAACTTTCCCAGATAATCTTACATGTCTTAAGGGCTTTCTTATATAGTCATATCAGAATAATTCCTTGAGAGTCTTTGATAAATTAACTTATTCCCATTGAGATTTCTAATAGTTCTTATGATAAATAATTATATCCACTTAAAATAAATAAAGTTTCTGCATATAATTGAACAACTTTTAAAACACCATTCCGAAATTGGCAAAAGCAAGATTCGATTTGAGAATCTCATGCCTCTATTGCCCCTAATATTTACTGGTTTCCTAAGTAGATCCTCAACATCCTCAAAGTACCTCACTTTCTATTTCTGGAGATATCTGCATTTACAGATTTAATGTAAGAGTAAAATAATCAGAATAAAACCTGAACTGACTGATTTCACAGGGCTGGTTTCACAGGCATATGAACTGTGCCATCACTTGGCTTAATGCTCCACTATTGCTCCCTTGGAATGATTAATTATTTGTTAACTAGAAACACTGTAAATTATATAGTCTGTTTTCCATTTATCTCAGTCACCTCTCAAAGATCATCATGAGTTTCTATTAATTATATGGATTTCCTCCCCACTCACCCAGTGCATATAGCAAAATACTCTTTTAAAGGTTTCCCAGAATCTCAAGCATTAGGTCTTCTCATTCCTACTGGACACCTGTACATCAGTCAGTGGGTCTATAAATCCTTATTTTGTGCCCAATCCTGGGATTGAGAGACATAAGAGGGAGAGCAGTTCCCTATCTTCAAGAAGCTCTAATGCTCTTGGGAGAAAAGATATAATGCTACAAAGCATATAATAATAAAAAGAGGATAGAAAAGATGAATTCTCTATAGAAAAGAGTAGTTAGAAGAAAAATGACCTGAGTCATTAAGCAGAGCCATATAGAATTACCAGTGAACAGCTGTACTTGAACTAGTGATTTCATATGTCTCAAAAGAATAATATTATATGTTTATATGTCTGCATGTAACATGTATATAAGCATATCAACATTCATATATATATACAAAATATACAAATATATACTTGTTCCTTTGGTGGAACAAAAAATAGCATGGCATCTGTTTTTGTAAATGTTTCCTTTTTTTAAATTTATTTTATTTGAAAGGCACAGTTACAGAGATAGAGAGGGAGGGGGGGTCTTCCATCTATTGGTTCACTCCCCAAATGGCCATAACAGTTAGGGTTGGGGAGGACAAAAGCCAGGATCCAGAGCTTCTTCTGAATCTCTCACAAGAGTGCAGGAACCCAAGGACTTGGGCCATCTTCCACTACTTTCCCAGGCCCTTAGCAGAGAGCTGGATCAGAAGTGGAGCAGGCAGAACTCAAACTGGCACCCAAATGGGATGCCAGCACTTCAGGCAGCAGCTTTACCTCACTACACCACAATACTGGCCCCTGTAAATAAGTTTTCTCAAAATATGGCCTAGCCCAATTGTTTACATAGCACATGTGGCTGCTTTCATGTTATAGTGACAGATTTGAATATTTATGTCAGAGATCTTACTATCTGCAAAACCTAAAGCATATATTATCTGGTCCATAACAAAGTTTGCCAACTCTTGGTCTACTCCACTAGATGGTAAGATCCTTAAAGATACACAAATAATTTGTTGTATCCACTGCTCTATATCTGAATCTGTTGAATGCATGAGTAAATAAGAAAACAATGAATGTACATGTTCTCAAGATTCACTGAATCTGTGCCTTTCATGTCCTGAGATCTTAATCTATTGGCTTTTTTATGGTGGAGATACTATCTCTAACCATAGAGAAAAAGAGGAAATATTTATACTAAAAAGTCTAAGACAACAATCCAGGACAAGTCCATTAGGAATAAATGTACTGCCCAGTGTTCCTCAAATTTGACCACATATTTTGGCCAATAATTAGACCTAAAACCAGTTCTCTTGGGAGATGTGTGAATGATGGACTAATGAGGTGTTCATTGTTGTGTTAGTTTCTTACCTCTGCTTTAAAATGGCTTAAAACAATACTAATTCATTAACACCTATGTCTGGAGGTTGGAAGTTTGAAATGGATGTCACTAGTCTAAAATTAAAATGTTGTCAGCACTGCATTACATTCTGTGGCTCTAAGGAAGAACCAGGTTCTTGCCTTTTCTAACTTCTAGGGGTCCAGATTCATGCAGTGTAGCATGTTCAGATCTCTCTCAAAGTTTGACTCTCTTTCCACTTGTTTCTACTTACAAAGATGCTGACCCTACATTGGGCCCAGCCAGTAAACCAGGAAAATTCATCTTTCTCAGCTAATAAGTATCCTTAATTCTATCTGTAAACTTGATTCTCCTCTCATGTAACTGGGCAGAGTCACAGATTCTGGGGATTAAGGATCTTCATAGGGGATCATAGCAATATGTCAACTGTATGGAATGTCTATGGAAATCTATGGAATTTTCCCATCTGCTGAGTTACTCTTCAGATGTCCACAACAGCCAGGCTGAGTTAGGCTGACACTAGGAACCTAGAAACAGTCTTGATCTCCTACATGTTAACAGGAACCTAACTACTTGAGCCATCACCAGCTGCCAACCAGGGTGCACATTAGCAGGAAACTGGAATCAGGAACAGAACTGGAACTTGAACCTAGTTACTGTAAATGGGTTCAGGCACTATGAGTGGGTTCAGATGATTCAGGTGGTGTCTTAACCACTGTATCAATGCCATCTTCCCTACCCACTTTTAAAGAACATCCATATTCTGTGTCCACTGTAACACTTGAAAGTAGTGGACTGGGGCAAAACAAAAGAGCTAGTATTACTTTATCTGTAAAAAAAAAAAAAAAATGAGTGCTAAGTGACATTAGACAGATTAGAATTAGAATTGGTCAAAGTTTTGTCTGCAATTAGATTTCCTGAATCCTGACAGTGCTTTCTCTATTTGGCATTTTAATCAGTGGTCAGCATTTACAGCTTGTCTTCTCTGTTTCTCATGTGACTATGAATTTGCTCCAAGGGTATGGATAGTATTGCCCTCCTTTTAAGTGTGCTGGAGTTCTGCATTGCTGTGTCCCTCTCTGCCTTTGGATGCAAAGTAACCTGTTGTAATCCTGGTGGGGTGAGTACACATTCATTTCAATGTCTTTGGTAGTTTCCTATTGTTATGTATTCAATTGTATAATTTTAGAGGCTTAAAACCAACATATTCATTATCTCCAGGTTCCTTGTGTTGACAGCCTGGGTACTTCCTTTCTAGATCCTCTGCTCAATGTCTTACAAGGCTTTACTTAAAGACTTAACTGGGGCTGTGGTCTCATCTGGCATTTCTGGTCCTGTTGCAGCTCATGTAGCAGAACTACTTTCTGTAAGCTCTAGAATGCATGACAATAGACTACTTCTTTGAGGATGGCAGAACAATGAAAGTCTCAGCTCTTTTAGAGTTCACATTATTGGGTTGGGTCCATGTACAATAATATCCCTTTTAATAAATTCAAATCCAACTTTGGTAACTAGTGTTACAGGAGTGATATTTCATTATATACACAGGTACCACCCAGACTCCAGGATTGAAAGTCACAAGAATGTGCATTACTGGGTATCACCTTAGAATCCTGTCGACTGTAATAGCTAATGAGAACTATTTCCCATCCTTAGTCCCTGAAACAGCATCCTCTGAGTCTAGATCAGAGAATGCTGCTTAATGGAGTAATCGACAAACACTGCCAAATTTTGCTCCATTACCCCACTCTATCCTGGGACTATTAAAGAAATAGCAATTTGTGCACATCCTGCCCTTTCTCTGTAACTGATCCTCCTGGCTGTTAAGCAGAAAGAACATCACATGCACATTTGCAACAAGATGCAGGAATCTGGAAAACATACGGAGTGAAATGAGCCAGTCCCAAAGAGACAAATAGCATATGTTCTCCCTGATCGGTGACAACTAACCAAGCACCTAAAAGGAAACCTGTTGAAGTGAAATAGACACTATGAGAAACAGTGTCTTGATTAGCCCTTGTCCTGACTGCCGAGGAACAACTTACTATTTTATTCCTTATAGCATTTTTTGTTCTACTTAATACCATTGGTTGAACTCTTTAATTAACACACAATTATTCTTAGTCATTTAAATTTAACAGAAAAGTGATCCCTGTTAAATAAGAATAAAGAGAATAAGAGAGGGAAGAGATGTACAGTTCAACACATGCTCACTCTGACTTACCCCTAATGGTAGAGCTAGAAACGTGCCAGGGGGTTCCAATTCAATCCCATCAATGTGGCATGTACCAATGCCATCTTACTTGTTAAAGTGATCAGGTTAAGTAAATAATTGATCAAAAAGATAGGATTAAATGTCAAAGGGATTACATAAATAAGACCAATGTCTGCAAATAATAATTAATAGAATTAAAAAGGAGAGAATGATCCTACATGGGAAGCAGAATACACAGCAGACTTATAGTATGGCAAATGCCCTAAACAGCACTCTGGCCTCAGAATCAGCCCTTAAGGCATTCAGATCTGGCTAAAAAGCCCGTAAGAGTTTCTCAGGCATGAAAAGCCAAGGCACTGTGGCAAAAAAAAAATGACCTAAATGAAAGATCTCTGCAAGTGAGATCCCAGTGGAAAGAACGAGCCATCAAAGAAGGCAGTACCTTTCTCTGAAGGGAGGAGAGAACTTCCACTTTGACTATGGCCTTGTCTAAATAAGATCGGAGTTGGTGAACTCAAGAGGCTTCCATAGCCTTGGCAGCTCATGACAAGAGCCTCAGGTGATTACTGACGACATAAATAAGAGTATCAGTTGTTAAATCAACAATGGGAGTCACTGTGCACTTACTCCCCATGTAGGATCTCTGTCCTTTATGTGTTGTACTATGCAAATTAATGATAAAACTACTACTCAAACAGTATTCTATACTTTGTGTGTCTTTGTGGGTGTAGTCTGTTGAAATCTTTACTTAGTATATTGTTGCTCCCCCTCTTCGTGGAGGAATGACACTAAACCCTGCCTAGGTTTCCTATCCAAGTCACAGCACCATTATGTCGCTCCCCGTCTTAGTGGAGGAACGACACAGGACCCTGCGCTGTTCTTTTGTCTGCTCGGCCCTCCCCGGGTTTGCTGCTGGTTCTTCCCGGGTTGGCTACCAACCCTTCCACCTCCGTGGAAGGGCGGTTCCCCCTGCCACTTTCCCCACTTCCGCGGGGGAGCGGCACACCGCCAGCCGGCTCTCTCGGGGGCTGCTCAGGTGTTCCTCATAGATGTTCCTGGTGCGTGTTGTCTCTCTCCTCCTTTATAGTCCTCTTCCACCAATCCCAACTCTGCTACCCACACGCCGAGTACACTGCTCTCCTCCAATCAGGAGCAGGATCAGCTCCTGCAGGTCATCACTCAAGTTGACGAGAGGCAGCTGCGTAGAAGTTGTTACTCCCTTCTCAGCGCCATATTGTGGGAGAGCAGATGCATAGAATAAGTCCTAATTCCAGTAACTTAGTCTAGTCCGAGTTGCTCCCCACAGTATATAGTAAGTTGATCTTCTATATATAAAGATAATTGAAAATGAATCGTGATGAAGAATGGGATGGGAGAGGGAGTGGAATATGGGATGGTTGCAGGTTGGAGGGAGGTTATGGGGGGGAAAGCCGCTATAATCCAAAAGTTGTACTTTGGAAATTTATATTTATTAAACAAAAGTTGAAAAAAATTGAAAAACAATAATAAAAAAGAACATCACATGCAGAGACAGAGAAGTGGGAGATTTAAGGAGAAAAGAGATTAAGAAAGATGCCCCAGAAACAAGAGGACATACATGTCTTCTGAGGCTTGAGAATGCCAGAGTGATGAAATGGGGAGTAAAACTCCAACAGTTGCTCATTAGTTTCGTTGCTCAAATGCCCAAGGGAAGATAAAGTCTATAGCTAATTAATAAACTATTAATAGTTTGAGATTATCTTGTTGTGCTTCTTCTCTACACTTTTTTGCTTCTTCTTTTTTTTTAAGATTTATTTATTTATTTGAAAGGCAGAGTTACAGAGAAGCAGAGGCAGAGGCAGAGAGAGAGAGGTCTTCCATCAACTGGCCGGTCTGAAACCAGGAACCTAGAGTTTCTTCTGGGTCTCCCACGTGGGTTCAGGGGCCCAGGGACTTGGGTCATCTTCTACTGCTTTCCCAGGCCATAACAGAGAGATGGATTTGAAGTGGAACACTGGGTCTCGAACCAGCACCCTTATGGATGCCAGCACTGTAGTCAGTAGCTTCATCCGCTACGTCACAGTACCAGCCCAACTTTTGTGCTTCTGAACTTTCTTTTGGGGTTCCCAGACAAAACCATATGCCACACCCCCAGAACCCTTCCCCACATAATAGAGATGGGGAATAAATCATATTAATTCTAATCATGGGTTTGTGTTGTAAGATCTTTGAAGTGTTTCTCAGCAGTCACAAATGATTTTGTAATTGCAGTGAGTGAAGCATTTTATCTTCATTATGTGAAGCATTTGGGCATGGGAGAAAATTCCTTAGTAACCTTTAATTTGTAACAATTATGTCTATGATCATTTCTGCTCCTAGAGTAGTTAGAGCTGGGAAATTTTGCTCCAGTTAAGCTCCTGGTATGAATTCAGATCAGTGGCCTTGGGGCGTATATAAGTCTCTCTCCTTCCTGTTCCCCTCCCCAAGCTCTTCCCTCAATTTCGTTTCACACTCAGTTTGAGGGATAAGGACTAGCACTTTGTTCAGTTTCACGGTGATCTCCGCCATTCTGAGATGGTATGGTTTTTGTAATACTTTATTCGTGGCTATAAAATCATGTTTTGGATGTGTGGTTGTAATCAGTCCAAGTAACCCGATTTGGAAGAAGAGCTCTGTGTTTTTCATAACATTTTAGTTTACTCAACTTGTTGGGTGCTATTATCCATATGTCAGATGAATCCACTTTCAAAAGTCAGCAATAACCATACACTTCTTAGCAAAGAAGTATCACCGAATGTGTGTAATAGTACCAACCTTGTCTGATGAATTCCTGAGATTTATTTTGAGTTTGAGTTCAGAGATGAGAAATTAAACTCTAAAATTGTGGGCAGGAAAGGGAAATTCTGAAGTTGCTTGAGTGACTCACTGATGACATTCTGATTGACTTCACAGGTTGTGCTCATTATGCCGACAAACTCACATGGAGCAGAAGTGGTTCCCCCTGCACCATTTAAAGAAGATTTAGCACCAACAATAGATCAACAGAAAAATGTTCCAAACTATCTACCCTGACTGTAATGCATGAATCCTACTTGGGAAAGTATTAGAGTCTAACTTAGATATGTATGTAAAATAAATTCAGAATCATGTTCTCCTTTTTCCCAAACTACTCAATGATTCAATTTGCTGACTCTCTAACAGAATATCAGAAGTTGAATAAGCAAATCATACACTTTAATGGGTCAGCAGAAATTGAAAGTAAAAAAAAAATCTCTTTAAGGCAGTATAAAAGAGCATTCATTGTATTTTCAAAAAAGAGTTGGCAGGGCAAAGGCAAAAAGGTATTGCCGAGATGAGGTCTAGTGGACTATACTTTATTAGTAGTATTCAGAAATGCAATTCATTTTAACATACTGACCATTTTTATGGAATCCTTTTTTCCTTATCCACATTTTCATCAACTATCTTTTTCTTTTAACTTGAAGAACTTTAACATTCATTGTTTTGAAATTTTTCTGGCATTACATTGTTTCAGATTGTTTTGCTTGTTGTCTGAATTCATTTTAATTTTACTTTGATTTTTGATGTATATTTTCACAGGATATGGGTCCTTGATTAAACTTTTTTTATCTTTAATGATGTCTTTTTGTGCAGTTATTGTTATCTTTGTTCTCTAAAGTATACTTTGTCTCACTTAAAAACTTTTTTGTTTACCATGCATTTTTAGTGATTTCTCTGTGAAATTCTTTAGTGTAGTTTACTTTTCTTCATCCAGCTTGAGGTTAATTGGGATACTTTTAATGTGAGTTTACACTTTTTATCAAGTTTGTAAATTTCAACCATTTCTTCAAATAATTTCCAACTCCGTGAACTTCTGTTTTTCTTGGACTTTGATTATACTTTAGACCACTTTATATTGCCCACTTGATGATTTATTAACCTTTCCAGTCTCTTTTTCTTTCTCTGCTTCTGCTTATAGAGATTTTGCATCTATCTTTAGCTTCACTAACCTTTTCTTTTCAAAGGTAAATGTGTTGCCACTCTTGTGCAGGGATTTATTCATATCATATATTATAGTTCTTAATCTCTAAAAATTCTATTCAGATCCTTTGTGTATATTTCTTTTTTGAGTTTTCATTTTATTTGAAAGGGGAGAGAGAAAGAAGATGGGGGGAGGGGGAGAGAGAGAGAGAATAAGAAAAACCACCATGCATGGTTCATTCCCCCAAATGCCTGCAACAAATGAGAACATGAACCAGGATAAAGTCAGAAGCCCAGAACTCAGTTCAGTCCTCTGAAGTGGGCAGTAAGGTCCCAGTTACTTGAGCCATTACTTGCTGCATACAGGAAACTAGAATTCCAGCTGACACTGGAATCCAGCTGCCTTCAAATGGGATGTAGGCATCCCAAGCAGCAGCCAAATCACTGTGCCAATGCCCACCCACCACGTACTTCATTTTTATACTTACTTTGTCTACAGTTTCTCTGAAATTTGTATATACCCACTATATATGTTTTAACATAACTTTGATTTGGTTCTCATCTGTGATTTATGGGTCTGTTTTCTTGACTGATTTTTCACTGTTTATTGTCATTTTTACTGTTTATTGTCATTTTTCTTCTTGTTGTCATATGCAGCTAATTTTGGGTTGGATGACAAATATCATGATTTTTATATAGATTAGTGTTCAATTTTTTTCCAAAGAGTGTTACATAAAGAATTAACAAAGCTTATGGGACTTAATGGGGAATATGAGTATTAAATGAACAAGTATTTACATTATGGGAATTTTAGAAGAGGGAACAAGGAAAGGGATTTCAATGAAATGATTGCTCTAAAATTTCCAATTCTTAGATGAATATGGATATTCAAATCCATGAAGCTCAAAGATTCCTAAAAAGTTTCAACCCACATTGGTTCTTATATTTTAATCAAGTGGTCAAAAATCAGAAGCAATGAGAATTTTGTGAGTAACAACAAAAAAGTGAAATGTCATGTACAGGAAATCTCCATTAGGTAATCAGAAGATTTTGTGGTGGAAACATTGTGAGCCAAGAAAGAACAAGATGGCACATTCTAATTACTAAAAAGAAAAACTGCCTGTTAAAAATACTATACCCAGTAAAACTGTCCTTCAGAAATGGAGAAATCCCAGACAAACAAAAGCTTAGGGAATTCCCATTAGACTTGTCTTGCATGAAATACTTAAGGAAGTTCTTCAGACAGGAATTGAGTTTACTAATTAATATCATGAAAATATAAGAAAATATAAAAATCTATAAAGATAAATATATGGTCATATACAGAATATTCTAATACTGTAATGGTTGTGGGCAAACTATATCTTTGGTGTGAAGGTTAAATTCAAAACACTAAAAAACTACAGTAAGTTGTTAAAATGCACAATATAAAAAGGTATAAATTGTAATATCAAAAATGGAAACTGGTGGAGAGTAAAGTTAAAATTGCAGAAATTTTGTGCATAACCAAATTTAAGTGGTTACTGTGGTAACCATGAAGCAAAACTCTACTGTAGATGCATAAATGATAATGAGAAAATAAGTGAAGAGTAGAGCTACAGAAAATAACCAAATCACAAAGGCAGACAGAGAAAGAAAGGAAAACCATTAAAAATATGATAATGGTAAGTCCTTGCCTATCAATAGCACCTTGAGTGCAAATGAATTTAATCAATAAAATTAATTTGACTGGATTAAATTCACCAATCAGAAGGTTTACAATCATTGAATAGCTTTAAAAAAAAAAAACTGATACAGCTATTTTCTGCCTTTAAGAAACCTACTTTAGCGCTAATGACACACATAGGTTGAAAGTAAAGGGATGCAGCTGGCGCTGCGGCTCAATAGGCTAATTCTCTGCCTGTGGCACCAGCACACCAGGTTCTAGTCCCAGTCGAGGCACCAGATTCTGTCCCGGTTGCCCCTCTTCCAGGCCAGCTCTCTGCTGTGGCCCGGGAGTGCAGTGGAGGATGGCCCAAGTGCTTGGGCCCTGCACCCCATGGGAGACCAGGAGAAGCACCTGGCTCCTGGCTTCAGATCAGCACGATGTGCTGGCCACGTGCCCTGGCCATGGCGGCCATTGGAGGGTGAACCAATGGCAAAAGGAAGACCTTTCTCTCTGTCTCTCTCTCTCACTGTCCACTCTGCCTGTCAAAAAAAAATAATAATAAAAATTTAAGAAAAAGAAAGTAAAGGGATGCAAAAAGATATTTCATGTAAATGGAAACCAAAGGCAAGAGGAGTGGTTATGTCTGTATTAGATAAAATATTCTCTAGTGAAAAAATGTCACAAGTAATAAAAAGTCATTATTAAATGATAAAGAAGTCAATTCATTAAGAAGAAATAATTGTAAGTAGATATTACCCAACATTGAAGCACTTAATATATACAACAATTGTTAATGGACGTGAAGGGAGAAACACATAGAAATACAGTAATAGTACCTTCAGTACCCCACTTTCCAAAATGGTTAAATCAACCAGACAGGAAAATAATAAGGAAATTCTGAATTTGGACTGTGTTTCAACCAAATAGAACTGAATATATATTCAAACCTAAATTGAATCAGAAAGAAATAGATATATCAAACAGACCAGTAACTAATAAAAGGTTGAAGAAATAATTCATGCCTTCTAATAAAGAAATGCTCTCACAACTGAATTCACAAATAAACACCACGAAACATTCAAGAATTATTATTCAAAAAAAAAATAGAGCTGGAGTGAATACTTCCAAATACATTTACAAAATCAGAATCACCATGAAATCTAAGCCAGACAAAGATACTATACTAGTGGTCTCATAGTGATTACATGATTCTGAATTTGTTAGAACTATATACTATACACTATTTATGATGAATTTCAATAAAAACATAGTAAGAAAAAGAAAAAAACATGATTTAATAGAGGCAGAAAAGGCATTTGATGAAGTTTAACACCCTTTATTCTTTTTTTTAAGGTTATTTTATTTATTTGACAGATAGAGTTAGACAGTGAGAGAAAGAGACAGAGAGAAAGGTCTTCCTTCCATTGGTTCACCCCCCAAATGGCCTCTACGGCTGGAGCTATGCCCATCCAAATCCAGGAGCCAGGTGATTCTTCCTGGTCTCGCATGTGGGTGCAGGTGCCCGAGCACTTGGGCCATCCTCCACTGCCTTCCCAGGCCACAGCAGAGAGCTGGACTGGAAAAGGAGTAACCGGGACTATAGAACCCGGTACCCATATAGGATGCTGGCGCCGCGGGCGGAGGATTAACCAAGTGAGCCATGGCGCCGGCCCCTAACACCCTTTATTCTTAAAAATTCTGAATAGTTCAGCTACAGACCAAATGTTCCTCAATGTTACAAAGGCCATTTATGAAAATCCCACAGCTTGCATTAGAATCCATGTGGAAAAACTAAAATTTTTACTCTGGTATCTCATACAAGGCAAAATTACCCATTTTTACCATTTCTATTGAACATGCTATTAGAAGTTCTAACACATTAATTTATTCAGAGTTGTTAAAACCATAAAAAAATCTATCTTTATTAGTCTGAACAGAGATATTCCTGGGCATTTTTATACATAAACTATTGAACAAAATTTGAAGTAATGCATAAATAGAAAGTAACTGATTTATGTATTTATATATTTAAGTAAATATAACAAATTTAATTTATAATATTTAAGTAAATATAACAAACAAGGTTTTATCTTGTTAGAAACACCCAAATTCCCACAGATATCAAACAAGGCCAGAGGACTGTTTCTAACAAAGAGCCTGCATGCTTCACTTTGCTTAATCCTCAGTTTAGGGACAATATTTTCTCCCTCTGATCATACTTCCTTCTTTCAGGGAAGAAACGTCTCACATGTATGAGAAGCCCAAGTTGCTTTTATGAAATAGTTTGTGCTGCACTCTAACCCTTCTTTCTCTGAACTTGTTTGTGAATAGCTCAGACTTCCTGTTTCCCAATAGAAGTTTGCTCACAGGTTATGAAGAAGACTAAAATTCCTGCAGGATGGCATATTTTCTCTTCTCCATCCAAGCATTGAATACTTTCTTGGTTCTCTCCATAAGATAATATATGTAAAGGGGTAGGAGTAGGCGGGGGTGGGGAAGAAGAGGAATATATAAAGAAGTCTTGAAAAATGTTGACTACTAGCTTCTAAATTTTTCTAAAATTCTAAAGAATAATGTCACACTAAGTAAGTTATAATAGATTCTTCAGAAAGATGTATCAGTAGAGAAGAGTATCTGCTGTACAGAGTATGATAAAGTGTTGTGGGAATATAAAGAGCTTGAGGAGGAGCTAGGGTCGATGACTGACAGTTCCAGCTGAGCTGGGGTCTGACAGCTCCAGCGAAACTGCCGCTGGACAGCTCCTAGCTCACCTGCAGTGCCTCTGCACAGGTGGGTAATTGACAGCTCCTCGCCAACCCACTGGGGTAGATGATTGACAGACAGCTCCAGACAGTTTGCATTTCGACCACCTCAGCCCACTCTGAGGGACAGCTGCAGCTGGCCTATATGACAGCCTGGCCCGACCCACCTAACTCCCTTCCTTATCCCATTCAAACTCCCTTCCCTTTCCATATGCTGTGCAAGCCCAAACCTAGCCGCCCCCGGCCCCTCCCCCCTTTCCCCCACCCCCGGTCCGTGACAAGTACCAGAAAGACCCCGCCCCTTTCCCAATAGCGGAAACCACAAGTCCCACAATTTGCAATCAGCATTAGCTGCAAACACCCAATATGGTTGCATCTCCCTCTCCCCCAAGGATGTTTAGGCCATTATAATGTCCTTACAACACACTTATCATGGAGGGCATGGCCCCTTCCATGCTGCACCTGATACTGTGACACTTCTGATATTTCTTAAAGAGGATATGTAAGTGGGTAGTGTTCAAAC